AGCCACCGGGTTATGCATATGGCCAACCGCACCGCCACCGCCACAGCAGTCCACAGGGCTATGGGTATGGCCAACCTCCGCCGCCACAGCCACAGCCACAGGGCTATGGGTATGGCCAACCTCCGCCGCCACAGCCACAGTCCACAGGGCTATGGGTATGGCCAACCTCCGCCGCCACAGCCACAGCCACAGGGCTATGGGTATGGCCAACCGCCACCGCCGCAGCAGCCACAGGGCTATACGTATGGCTAATTATTGTGGCCGAAGCATTCCTATGTATCTGTTTCTGGGTTCTATCCGAATAATAAGTAGATTTTTTTTGACTTTGGGTGGGAGATACATTTCATTAATTTCTCCCCTCTGACGCATGTAAATAGTGGGCGTCGTGTTGTGGGAGATATCCATCCTTGTGGAAGACAGGCTATAATGTTTTTTTTCTTTCTCTGTGTTGGGGCCCGCGTGGACATATTTTTAGTAGGATTGAGGAGCATGGGGTTCTTTTGAATGCCTTTTCGATGGAATATAGATAAGTCGTTGTTTCTGCTACCATACTTTAAAAATAATCTGTTGGGGGTAATGTGCAACGGGACGGGGCTTAGTGGATGATAGCGTGTCTTGTTTAATTTTCCCCTGTGTTTTTTTATACATGGACTTCTTGTTTCTGGCTCGCACCGATGCTGCGTTGGAGGGGCAGCGTGAGTGTGTGTGTGTGTGTGTGTGTGTGTGTGTTCCCCCCTCCCCAATCGCTCTTGTCCCGTTCACGAATCCACCACTAAAACTAATACCGCCCACGCGGGGGGAGTCCGGCTGCGGTGGGGGGGGGGCCTCAACGACTGCCACTTCGTGAGTTCCCGACGAGAGAGCGGCCACCATAGGAATTGTTTTTGGCCCATTTGTTTATATTCGTCTCTGTGAGTGTGTGGGGTGCGGCAACTCCGAATTTGGGGGTCTGGGCGCGCGCTGGCCCAAGTTGGGAGGTCGTCGCCTTCGTTTTTTTTTTTCTTTTGTGGGAAGAAAGGGTGAAGGCGTTTTAGGGCTGCGACGTATTGTCTGATTTTTGATTTATTTCGTCATTTATGAGATCGCACATGTGGAACTTTCCGCTTCTCTTCTTTGCGTTTGCGGCGTCCACTGTGGCCGTCCTGACCCCCCTTGCGGCGCATTCCGCGGCGTCTAGCGCATGTTTGTCGCAATACACTTTTTCGATGTTCCTCGTTGACTTCGACAAGCGTTATAATGACCCGGTGGAGCATCACAAGCGGAACGCCATTTTCAACGAAAACCTCGCGGGGATCTGCGCCTTCAACAAGGACCCAAACCGCTCATATCGATTGGGTGTTAATCAATTCGCTGACCTTACAGAGGAGGAGGTTGCTGCGCGGTTTACCGGTCGTGTTGCCCTTCGCACGCCCGCCGGGTCTCCGTGGAGGGCCTCTTACAAGTACACAAAGGCAAGTGCCCCAGAGGCAATGAGCTGGCAGCAGGCCAGAGACCCTGTCCTCACTCCCGTCAAGGACCAAGGAAAGTGTGGTTCATGCTGGGCACATGCGGCAACGGAATCGATTGAGAGCATGTACGCCATTCATACAGGGAATTTGTTGACGTTGAGCACGCAGCAAATCACATCTTGTGCAGACAACCCTGAGAAATGTGGCGGTACGGGTGGCTGCGGCGGTGGTACGGTGCAGTTGGCCTGGGACTACGTCAAGAGTGCCGGAGGAATTACCCTCAATGCGGATTATCCGTATGTGAGTGGAAAGACCAGCTCAACTCAGCAATGTGTACTCAATGCGAGTATGCCGTGTGATGTACACGTTTACGGCTACGTGTCTCTTCCACCTAACGACTACGACGCCGTCTTGGAAGCCCTCGTCGAAAAAGGTCCTCTTGCTGTTAGCGTTGATGCCAGTCAGTGGGGCTTGTATGCGGGCGGTGTCTTTGATGGCTGTGGTGTGGGGAACGCAAATATTACCATAAATCACGCCGTGCAACTCGTAGGTTTTGGAAAGGACAACAGAACCCAACAACAATACTGGATCGTACGTAACTCCTGGGGCGAGAAATGGGGTGAGAAGGGATACATTCGGCTCCTGCGCCAAAAAGGCAATCACACGTGTACCTTCAACCAAGACTGGAGTACCGCGGGAGGTGGCTGTGCTAATGACCCAAACACCACCGTCGTTGCTTGCGGCATGTGTGGGATTTTGTACGACGTGGCGTATCCCGATGTCATGGAGCCGCCCGGGCGGGGCAGGCTCGTTTGGGTAGCGGGGGCGGCATTTGGTGGCCTTGGCGTTTTGATGATTATTTTGGTGGTTTGCTCGAAGTGCGGCGGGGGCCCAAAAAGGGGTTATGGCGGTCTTTCTGCGGGGTCGGAGCACCTCCATTGAGCCCTCCCGCGTGTGCCGGGGATGACCGCCGCCAGCAACGGCGGTGGCATCTCGAAGGAACGAAGAAGAAGTGTGACGGAAGCAGCTT